GAAGCAGAGAAGTTGAGTGACAGGCTGGTTTGTTAACACCCAACATGGGCTAACCCTGTCCAAAAGAGTTTTTTTTATAAATAGAAGCATATTAAGTAAAGCAGTGAAACTAATTATTAAACTTTTTTCTTTTTCGCAGGGAGAAATCGGCAGTCTGGGGCCTATGGGACCTGTTGGTCCAAAAGGAGAGAAAGGAGAACCCGTAAGTCTATAATATTAATGCATCAGTGTTAGGTGTACAGCAATGGTGAATTATCTCTGTGGCTGGTGCTGTGTTTCCTTCTCAGACTGTTATAGTAGTATTAGGGTTAAAATAAAGGGAGTGGGGTTTATACTAAGCTGGCTGTTATTCACCACACACACAGGATGAGGGGTGAAGGTGCATGCATACTCGAGGTATATCTAATGCCGAAACTTAGGTTTTTCATTATGTATAGTGTAGAGCACTTATCCCATTCCACCATCCTCCTCTTCCCACCTCTAATACATAGCATACCTTTTGTCTTGAAGTCCTCTAGCTGGCCCAGTGATGTCTTAGCAGCTTTCTATAGTTCCTACGGGGAAGGGTATGTGGGCATTCTTCCAGGACTCAGCGGTGCTCAGGTAATGATGTGTGAGTTCCACTCAGACCTGGACTGCATGCCCAGCTTGCATGATGATGCATCCCCTCACAGGAGATTGTCAGAATGAAAAAACCTATCATTCTGCCCAAAGAGGACCACCAGCTTTAGACAGAGTAACATGAACAGAGAGTGAGGGGAAACCTCTTCAAAGTGGAGGAAACCCCATTTTAGATGGTTGTCACCAGAACTAACGTTACCATTGAAAGATTCCCCTATTCCTGTTCTGGAACAACTCACAACTTTAGATTTTCCCATCACTCTCTATCCTATTCACGGATATGAGATTGGTCAGGAGGGTATATAGCCCTCAGCTTGGTATTTCTATAAGAGACCTAAATGTTGGTTGAAGTCTGAGCCCTTTTCTGGAATTATTCATGCTAGAACAGGCTTGTTATTAGGAACGTTGCTATCAAATATAGCAATTTTTTTCCACATGATGAAAAAACAACCATATCATTCAAAACATTCAGGAGTACATTAACAAAAAGTAATAATTTAAATATCTACAGACTTTTATTCCTGTTTACATGAATATATTATTAAAATCCTATTTCACACAATTGCATGCCATTGCAAAAATCTATTTCTCTTTCTGCACATGATTCTCTAAATCCAGTAACCTCCCAATTGTCTCAAATCCTCCAGTTCGGCTCATATAAATTGTATCTGCTTGTTCATATCAAATATTCAATTATTGTTCGATTTTCCAGCCGATACTTGCAGGAGGATGAGACGACTTGACAACCCTGTTATTAGCTTTGTAGAGTTGGATCGAACTCATGAGGACCCTAGAGGAGGGGGAGTTTGATGAATTGATCTTAAGAAAGGGAAATTAGGAGGCTACAAACACTTAGACACCACCAACTTCAATGAAGCATTGAGTTGCAATTACAAACCCTTTTTATAAGAGTCAGAGGAATATCATGCATGTTTAGGAAAAATATGATAAGAGTGAATCTGAACCCCTTTTCATTTTCAGTGTAGAAGTAAAGTATTCATGTAAAGTATATACTTTGAGATCTATTCAACCTTGGCACCTGCTTTCTTCATGTGTTTTATTGTTTTATTCTACTCTCTCTCTCTCCCATCCCCTTACTTCTCTCTCTCTCTCCCATCCTTGGCAGTGGCCTCTTTCAGCAAGATAATGAGCCCTGCCACACCGCAAAAATGGCTCAAGAATGGTTTGAGGAACTCAACAATGAGTTTGAGGCAGTGGCGTAACCAGAGTTATAGGTGCCCGGGGCAGAATTTTTTTTTTGCGCCCCCACCGCCCCATCATATAAACAACCCATTATATAAACGTCCACTCTGGTTATAAGGATAATTCAACACATGTAAAGAGCATTTAATTTTTAATGTTGATAAAGAGCATTACATTTTTTATGAATACCCCGGGTATACAGGGACAAGGAGGGTATGCTGGTTCTTGTAGTTCCCTGCGAGATATATGGGGGGGGCTGGGGGTGTACAGGGACAATGCAATGAAGACATACTAGGTCTAGTAGTTCCCTGGGAGATATGGGGGGTGTACTTGTAGTTTCCTGTGTGATATGTGGGGGTGTATAGGGACAATAAGGGCATGCTGGGACTTGTATTTCCCTGGATGATAAGTGGGGAGTGTACAGGAACAATAAGGGCATGCTGGGACTTGTAGTTTCCTGGGTGATATGTGTGTTTGGGGGGTATGCAGGGACAATGAGGGCATACTGGGACTTGTAGTTCCCTGGGTGATATGTGTGTTTGGGGGGTATACGGGGACAATGAGGGCATACTGGGACTTGTAGTTCCCTGGGTGATATGTGGGGTTGCAGAGGGGCAATGAGGGCATGCTGGGACTTGAAGTGCCCTGTGTGATATGTGTGTTTCATCTCAACTGTCTGACACTGGCTGGTCTCAGTTCAGACAGTTGGAGGAAGCTTAGTGGGAGGCTGAGGCTCTGAAGACAAGCATTTAATGGATTAGAAGTAACCCGGTCCCAGTCAGAGGCGCCGCAGGTCTCTCTCCGTCTCTGATAATATACGTCAGCACGTCGCTGGGTCAGGTCCTCACAGCCGAGGCCCCCAGAGTGGACTTTTTCTTTGCCTGACTGTAAATCTTTTTTTACCCGCGAGCCTGCTTGTCATTGTCCAGCGCCCCCCTCTCACGTCTCGCCCGGGGCAGCCGCACTGTCGGATCCCCCCGGTTGTTACGTCACTGGTTTGAGGTGTTGACTTGGCCTCCGCATTCTCCAGATCTAAATCCAATCGAGCACCTCTGGGATGTACTGGAAAAACAAGTCCGATCCATGAAGGCCCCAACACACAACTTACAGGACTTGAAGGATCTGCTATTGACGGCTTGGTGCCAGATATCACAGCATGCCTTCAGAGGACTAATGAGTCCATGCCTCAATAGGTTAGGCCTGTTTTGGTAGCAAAAGGGGATCTACTCAGTATTAGGTGGGTGATCATAATGTTATGGCAGCAAGAGGGGGACCTACTCAGTATTAGGCGGGTGATCATAATGTTATGGCTGAGATATATAAATATATATATATATATA